GGCCGGCAGTGGCATGTGGGACGGCGGCGAGGGTGCGCTTGCGGTCGCTGCCAGCACCAGCGCCAGCAGCGGCGGCGGGAGCCTCGCCGTGGCCCTGGGGGGCCGTGGGGCGCCGCGTCGCGGCCGCGGCGCAGGCGGCGGCCGTGACGGTGGCGGCGGCTGCGGCGGCGCGGCGCACTCGGGGGCGGTATCTTCCATCGTCTTCCACGGCGGCTGCGCGTTCACCTCTGGCGCCCGGCGCAGCAGCAGCAGTAGCAGCAGTAGCAGCAGCAGCAGTAGCAGCGGCGGCAGCAGCCTCCTCATGTGGGACGCGGACACCTTTGAATTCGTGGCCGCCGCGTCGGCCGGGGCGGCGCAGTGGCTGCGGGCGCCAGTCTGCTCGCTTTGTGTGGTGGATTGGGAGTCGCTGGCGGGCGGCGCGGCGGCGGGCGGCGTGGACTTCCATTTGATCAGTGGCCATGCTGACGGCAAGGTGTGAGAGTGCATGTTGGATTGTGCCTATTGTGTGTGTGGAGGAGTCACGGGTGTGAGTCGGGGAAGCTCATGTGTTTGTGTGTGCTGTGTGCACGAGCGTGCATGTGTGTGTCAGCAGGCGCAGCCGGCCGGCCGCACCGCTTCGGGCCGCACCACAGAGGTGGCGCCCGGCGGCCCCCGGGGGCCGGGGGCCGAAGGCGCCTCGCGCGGCTCGCCCGTCAGTCCAACCGGGCCCTCCGACAAACACTGCGGCTGCCGAAATGTTGAGGCCCCTTGGGATGAGGGTTCGGGGCCACCCCTTCTTTGACTCCACAGCTGCCCTTGTGACGCCTGCATTCGATTGCACTTCGGGGGTCCCGGAGCGGCGGGTGGCAAAGCCGCAAACTACGCTTTTCCGCGCCCCTCGTCACCCGCATTACCCGCATCACCACTGCAGCGTCATTTGCGTCACCCGCACCATCACTGTAGCGTCACCCGAGTCACCGGCGCACCGCCGCCCGCCCGCCCCGCCCGCAGGTGGTCATGTGGGATGCGTCGTCGGGCGGCGCGCTGCGGCCGGTGCTGGTGCTCGGGCAGTCAAGGGGGTCGGTCAAGGAGCTGGCTGTGTTGGAGGAACTGGGACTGCTGGCCGCGGCACACTCCAGCGGCAAGGTGCGTTCATATGCACGGGTGTCAATGCGCACGTGTGTGTGTGTATGTGAGTGTGTTTGTATGTGTGCTACAGAGCGAGATGCCCACAACAGCTGTGCGCCCCCCTGCACCAACCCCAGCCGTGCGCCGCCCGCGCGCCTCCTAGTCCCTTGAACACTGGTCGCGCCTGCCAAATCCCGAAACCACCGAAACCCCCAAAGGTCTGCCTGCGAAAGCTGGACCCAAAAATAAGGGTCCCGCCCCGCGGGGACGGCGCACGCCTTGCCAGCTGGCAGCCAACCACCCTCACCCTCCAAGCCCACCGCCTCGGCCTGATCGCCATGGCCGCCGGTGGCAGCTTCCTGGCAACTGCCGGCGCCGGCGGCGGCGTGAGGGTCGCGCCCGAGGGCGTGCTGCGGGCGCTGGCGGCGGAGGCGGGCGTGCGGCTGCCGGGCAGCTTCACGGGCGGCGGCGGGGACGGGCGCGGGGGTGCAGCTGCGGGCGGGCGCAAGTCTGGGGTCGATGACGTGGCGGCGGCGAGCGTGGTGGCGGAGGCGCTCGCGGAGTTGCTGCTCTCTGCTCGAGGCAGCAGCTACGCCGGTGACGGGCAGCAGCAGCAGCAGCAACAGCAGCAGCAGCAAGCAGCGGCAGCCGCCGCGCTGCTGTCCCGCGCGAGCATCGGCGGCGGCGCCGGTGGGGGTGACTGCGTGGGCGAGGGTCTGGCGGCTGAACGGCTCCGGCTAATGGTTTCTGAGCTGCTGCAGCGGCAGGGCGCACCGGCGGCGGCAGCGGCGGCAGTCGAGGCGGCGCTAACGGGCAGCGGCGGGAAGCCGGGCACCGACGGGCGGAGGCCGGGCGCGGCGGGCGTCGGCGCGGTCGGGCGGCAGAGGGCGGGCCGGGGATCGGCGGGCGCGGTCGGCAGTGGCGGGTCTGATTCCAAGCCCCGCGACGGCAGCCAGCATGAGCGCTCATCGCCGGCGCTGTCAGCGTCCGCGCCGCCGGCCGCGTCTGGCCTTGGCGGCGGCGCCGCCGCCGCCGCGCCGGCCGCGGGCTCCCCGGTGGATGGCGTCGCCCCCGGCTGGCCGCGGCGCCACCGGGTGACGCCAGGTGACGTGGACGACAGCCCGTGGCTGCTCGACTACGATGACATAAGGCTGGGGCGCGTCATGGGGGAGGGGGCTTACGGCCACGTGCGGCTGGGCTGGTGGCGGGAGACCGAGGTGGCCGTCAAGGTGTGGTGTCATGACGGCGCATGAAAACCCCTCCGCGGCGGTCTCAGGGCTGTCACTTTGATGTTTGTTTACAAATCGCAGGGGCGACGGCGGACCTGCGTGCACCAACCCTGTGAGCACGCCTGCGGGATTCCATCGCACGTACGTCTGCTTGAACCAACCTCGCAGATCCTGCACGCGCCGGCGGCGGCGACGAACGGCGCCCGCCGCCGCTCCGACGGTGACGCCAGCGGCAGCGACGGCAGCGATGGCAGCGACAGCGGCGGCGGCGGCGGCGGCCGCGCGCGGTGGGACAAGGAGCGGCTGCGGGCGCTCTGCAAGGAAGTTGATATTTTGTCGAACCTGCGGCACCCCAACGTTGTCATGTTCATGGGGGTCTGCCTGCAGCCGCCCTGCGTGGTCACCGAATACTGCGCCCTGGGTGAGCGGGGCGACGGGGTGTGGCTTTTGCACCGAATTGTTCGTTGTGGGGGACGGGGTTGCGCGCGCCGGCGCAAACAATGCCGGAATCTCGGACTGGGCGTCTAGGGGCGTGCGATTTCAAACGGTCGCTGCGCCCTCGTGCTGAGCCGCCGCCCCCGCACCTCTCGCGCACGCGTGACACCAATCAACCACTTATCAACACCGGCC